GCAAAGCTGATGGATTTCAAACGCATCAATTAGTTGGTTTGTTCATGCATCCCAGCATTCAGTTTAGCCCATAGTGTAGCTCATTGTTCAGAGTTTTCTGAGAGGTGTTACTTGCATATCGTGACATATAGTAATTAGCCCCTCAACAATGCCCGCCAGGAGGTGGCATGCATGATTACTGCCTGCCAGGAGTTTACGCAATGGCAATCCAACTTTTATCGTTCCACTACTGTGTAACTAGCTTTATAGTCGGCATGGACTCACAGTGACTGCCACCTCTGCTGGCCCAACTCCAGCCACTGCGTAGTTCAAAGACTACCAGAAGCAGCAGAATGCCTGACATTTCATGGATGTGAGCAGACTTGTAGTGGTTAAATTATATGGTATTTCATCACAGACTGAATGGCAAGTTATGTTTTCCTTTTGGTAAGTAAGCTGGTTTTGACTTTAATTAATAATTGATAAAAAAGTCTGTTCTTATTCTTTAAAACATGATGCTGGATTCCTTGAATGGGTGGCACAGCCATTTAGCTGAAGTTTACCAGCATTCCGAGTACAGCATCAAGTCATCAGAGAGTGACCTCCTTAGGGGGCTTGACTATCCCAAGAAATTTACTGCCAAACGTAGAGCGGTATGGTACATTCTCCCAGGGGAATCCTAGAGCACCTGCTTGGGTAGACATGTTCATTTTAGAATAAAACTGGCTTTACAATATTTGCCTCTTTTCTGTAGTTTACTGTGAAAGCCACTTGTCAGCCTATCTGTCCGTTTCCATTTGAGATTTCATTGCAATTGTGGGCAGAACCGACAGGCATCTTCCCTGTTTTGTTCCATCTGCAGTTCAGTGTCATTCACTCAAGGCAATATGAAAAGACCAGCACTCCTAAACAAATGAAAACAAATGTTTTATTTACAGGAAAAAATCTGTACACTGTGCATACATAAAAATATACAAAATCATAATAGAAAATATAAAAAGTGTTAAAATGTATACAAACACTGCTTAAAAATGTGACTCCTGTAAAATCTTAAGCTTTGTTATTAGAGTACACATTCATTTAAAAAAATCATCATACAAAATAATTCTCAAAGCTATTAAAAAAGTACACAGTCTATATTTGAATAGTTCAATGACTACATATTTAAGACTGATGAGATGATATGAATAAATGTAAGGCTTTTACACACAACTCTTATTTCAAGAACAAAACTCTGAATCTGATCACTAAGCCAGAAAAAAGGAATTTGCAGTGCCAAAATTCATTCAAAGATGCAAGTATGCCCAGACGTGGGCTACTTCAAATTTCAAACAGTTAAATCAGGTATCCTCCTTGTGTGTGAGAGGACAGCTCCCAGGAAAGATTCAGATGCTTTCTAATAACAGTCTTCTGAATTACCTACTTCAAAAAACAATTTCATTTATTCAATATGCATCAACTTCAGAAAGCATGAAGGGAAAAGTAGTAGCCATTTAATTTTGCTGTCAATGCATTTAATATTCCTTTCCTGATACATCTGTGTCACTGTCCAAATGGCATTTTCCATCCTTAAAAACTGAAGAAAAAGGAAAAGAAAAAACCCCACTATGGATTGGATTGGTCTATGTGTGTTTTGAACTCCTGTTTAATTCAAGCCATCTCTAAAATGACTGTGTTCGGTCTGTGCAACCATTGAGTGTAGACACTTGTCTTCACTTAAGAAAAAAAACTGTCTCGGTCTTCCCAACTTTGGCAAAAGATCTACAGCAACAAGTTCAGAATTTGGATGTTTTCACCAAAGAAAGTGTACTGACCAAAAACATGCAATAATTTAGCTAAATTTGTACAGAGAGAGTGTAGATTAGAGTGTGTAAATCACCCCCCTCTCTCTCCAAAGGTATATATTTCTTACATCATGGTAATTTCACTGAGTACCAGAGTTTCAACAGCATAAAGCTGCACAGCAAGGTAAAAAAAAATGTAGTAGTTTAATCCAAGAAATGACTGACTGAGCTGTGAGTTTATGCTCAGGTAACCTTTAGAACGACAAAGGAATGGAACAATTAATATTTTTTCCTAGCAAGAAGATTTTGGCTCAAAATGAAGCAAGATCTTTCATATCTTTTTCTTGAACAAACAGCAGAATACCTCGATTTAACCATCCAAAGGCTGAATGCATAAAATGATAGAGCACCACAAGTCAGAAAAGCTACAGAATTCACAGTGGAAAAAAGAGCATAATGAAATTCAGCATAAACTCAGCACGTTTCCTTAAGCTGCTGCTGTGTTTCTGGTTTGTTTCAGCTAAGTGCAACTGTTTTCCACAGCACCAGGGCACAGAAGTGAGGCTCGATAGCTTGTGAAGGCAACTTACTCCTACTTGTCAGGAAAACTCCGTAAATTTAAAACCTGCATTAGTGCAACGAGTGTGAAGAGAGCTTAGGGGTCCACTGGCAGAGGCATTTGCATAACTGATGATGCGTCTCAAAAGCTGGGTTTGGGCAAACCTCTCTTGCCTACAGTGCCATTTCAATCTGTTAGCGTATGACAGCCACATGGGAGAGCTACAAAGCCATGCCTGTATCTTTTTCCCAAAAAGCCCCATGATCTGGCTGGGAAAATGCATTTCCTTTCACGTTGTCTCCATTTAATATAGGTATCTAAAACCAGCACTCTCACACATTGTTATTATTATTAAAAGATACTTGGTTCGGTGTTACTACACGGTCACTGTTTTAAGTTTACTGAATATGATTCTTTGTAAAGATCTCTCTGCCCTCAGGAGGGATGAGGAAATGCCCATAAATGCAAAAATACTCGGTGGGCTCTTATAAAAGCCAGCAATGCCAATGCCACGGAGTGTAAGCAGTGGTGAGGGGAGCACCTCTGCAGGTCCTTTATGTTCCCCCTTTATTTCTGCCCCTTCCCCTGTTGCAGCAAATGGAGGTGAACCCTCAGGTAGCGGATCAGGCACACTTGCCCTTGTGCCAAAAAACCAAAGGAGGACAAGACAAGGCAGGGGAGTAAAATCTCTTTAAGCAGCCACAAGGTGTTTGAGCAGGCAGACCAGTGAAATAATATCACAGTGGAAACCAGTGTTGGGAAGCCACGCCAGGGATGCTTCTTTTTTCAAGAGGGGCATCACAAGTCGGTCTTCCTTCTCTGTGAGCAAGCAAGCATTTGCAGCACAGCTCTGTGGCATCTTCTGAGGTGATGGTGCTACAGCACCCACATTTGCACTTGTGGAAGGAGCACTGACTGCCATATAAATCAGGATACAGTAAAGAAAAAATTTCTGCTGGGAGGGCTTGAATGCGCACAGTCCAGTAAATTAAAAATATACAGTTCATTTTCTAATGTCTCAGACCTGGTTCTGCATTATTATTTAAATCATGTATTAAGTAGGTATTGTTACATGAAACTTCAATCATTTGCCTTGTTCTGTACAACAGATATGTTGATTATTCTGACAAATTAGTGAGGGAATAATACAACATAATCCTGCTGTGGGTAGTTGAGTAACGCAGTTAGTATTTTTCTTCTTTGTGAAAATCAAAGTTAAAGGTTAGTGGTTGCAAAGTTAAAGGTCAAAGTGATATGCTTTTTCTTCTTTTCAGAACTTGAGGATTTCCAGCTTATGGAAAAGTAGCATATTCACTAGTCCTAGAAAGCTAATCAACTCTCTTCCTTTACAAACATGGGGTAGCTAACCCAGAGTACAGGAAAGAGACATGTTTGATTGCACTGTTCAAATTTCCCATGTTTTGCAAACAGGATACCAAACATATGGAAAAATAGATTAGTTCTATGTAGGTTATCTATTCTCCACAAGATTAAATAACAGTTATTAAAAGTTGCCACCATATATAACATTAAAAAGAAATCAGTATGTAATATATCCAGTCTAAGGCTAGTATGAGTAAAACCTATTCATTTTGACATGTACCAAAATGATTTATGGACATAACTATCCACACAATACAGAAGTACAGTTTTTAGATCATCTGGACATACCTTCTGTCAACAACAGGCATCTTAAGAGGATCATAAAGCCCAAATTAAGAGACTACATGGGAAAAGAAGGCTAAGTCCTACGTAAGATACATATTCTTCACTTTTGAGGAAGGAAAATCATCAGATCAAAAGAGCAGAGTGCGAAAAAAATGATTCTGTGATTATACTTACATTACTATTGAAGAGGAAATAGTCATTAATATTGTGTGCACTCTTCAATTGCCTTTCTGTTGCTTAAGACAAAACACAAAAAATACTTTCCACCAGTCACTCAGCTATTCTTTTCAGTGTCTCTTTGAGCTGTCTGCCTTTTTACTGAATGGACATCCAGTAGGATATAGCTGTGCTTTTGTGTACATACGTTCCTGCTGAACTTACCCTAAGAGAAAGGGTACAGCTGTGTGAAAAAAACCCCAAAACATTAACCTCCTGCCACTCAAAAAATCTGAAACTCAAGTCTTGCCGTGAAAAATGCTGCTTTAAATATATTAGCAACCAGGCAGACTTTTAGAAGTGCCTTAGAGAATATTCTCATTGTGTGTTATGAAGGAAAATACCAAATTATGTCCATGTGCAATCCGTAGTCACTTCTTCTGCAGGCATTACAGCTTCTCTGGGGTATAGTCTTTCAAACGTTAAATAAAAAATGCTGATATCCTCTACTTTTGTCAGAAAACTCCCTATACTTTCTTAACAAACAGCAGTAACTTGTGAACAAGTGAGTTTGATTTGGATCCCAACAAAATACCTAAGAAATGATGTCTAATCCTGAATCCTATCTTTGCTGCAGAAAGGTGACCTCCCTCTACGCTTGTTTTCAGTGTGATGTGTGAGTGCTGCACAGCCCCCCCGGCTTTCCCTGGATCTTCTTCATCTGTGCAGACCAGGGGAAGGCATCATTTCCATCTCACTTACTTACACCCTCTTGATAGGCTTCCCAGGGACAGTTTTGTCCTGAATGGGTTACTAATATGTTGTTGCTCTCTAAAGAAATGAGACATTTCTCTTTTCCCTCTGCCCTATGCAGTCAGAGTGAGCATGGATGGGGGTCTGGCATCAAAAGTGCATCCAGTAGTTTAACTGGTTTAGCTGTGTGTACAGCCATCTCTATCTGCACTGCCTTTATAGCCACCATAAGGCCCCCTATACAGTTGAAGGTCTGTAACTGAGCCTGCGTATGAATGGGAATTAAAGTCTACTCTAGTCAATGACTGCACAGCTCAGAGTAGCAATTACTTCATTCTTGGAGAGTGTGAAAATCCCATGGAGCCATGAGAAATGCTGCATTGTTCAACTGGCCGCTCTGTACATGAACAATAGAGGCTGTTTCACAATGCCAGGTTTAACAGTTAAATAAGTTCATTTAAAAAAAAAGTTACACTCTAGCATATGTGGCATAAGAGACCACCAACAAATTCTGACAGTCACACCCACAACAATACATTATATTTCTGCCTAAGTATGTCCTTTGCACCTTTCATGAGCTAAGCCTTTTTTTTTTTTACTATTTGCAAAGCAGTAATAAATACTCAGGCTCGGAAAAGAAGTATTCCTCATGCCTGCTACTTAATTACAATTTATAGACTCAAGAATAGATTGGTCTAAGATACATTTTTCAAGTATTCTCTTCTTGTTTATAGTACGACAGTAGTACCTTATTGCACATTGTTTCTGAAGGACTCTCTTCTACAAGTGTGAGAAATTATTTCGTTCAGGGCACTTGACAGCTTTGAACCCTGGCAAAATGACTTTCCCCTTCCGATACAGATCATCCTGCAAACCTTTGTTCATCCTCTGCACCAACAGCTTCTCATAGAGCAGTGGGTGGTAGGCCCCTAAGGTACAAGCTGCATCGTAGTAGAGTTCATGGTAGTGACATAGGTCGGTCTGTCGAACTGAAGGGATGTATTCATACACGTGTACTTCGTTACACATGGACATCATGATGAGGATACCTGGAGCAGAAAGTGAAAACAAAAGTGAACCGCAAATTTTGCTTTTCTCACAGCAATTTCCCAGCAGTCACCCAAACTGTTTTTCTTTCTTGCTTTCCTTTGGTGTTGCACACCTTAAGTATTACTTCTGTAAAATTACGTGGAGTGATAGTTCCTTTTATTAGGGCAGCTTTCACTTGTCCCTGATATGTAAAAGTTGTGAGCCCTGTAGAGCTGATGGGGTAGGACAACGATCATAAGGAAGGAGTAACAAGCCTATAAAGGGCTTGCATACCATCTTTTGCACACTGGCAAGCGGAAACAAGAACAGAAAGATGAACCAGCATCACCCATGTTTCTTCCCTTGACGACTTTTGGATGGTTCATTCAGACTGTCGGTAATATTAAGGTATCAATGTACTCCTTGAAACTTCTCCACCTTATTCAATGTTGGTCTTAGATTGGAATTGAACCAATTCCACTTTTTCCATCCACTTGCTTCTCTTTAGGCCGGAAGACATTGCCAAGAAGGCAGTCTAAATACACGCAGAAGGACACATAAAGAAGCATCAGCCACATACTGGTAGCACAAAAGCCCACAGCTTCTGAGAATTTTGTGAACAGTCTTACAGAGAAAGGCTGAGGACGGTGAACTCCTTAGAGCAGTGCTGCCACAAGGAAAAGCCTCTGACCACCCCTGCTGAGCACAGCAAGGAGCAATCCATAAAATGCCAACCCATTTTTTGCCTGCCACATGTCAATGGCAGACTATCATCAGCACTGTCAATAGCGGCTAAGAAAGGCCATATGGAAATTAATTTCTTTTTTAAAACCAGGTAAAGGTTCGCTTTGACCTTAGGCACAGTCCTAAGATGCTGTTACTCTCCTTAACCCATGGTCAAGATCAAAACTGGGCCAGGACAGATATAGGTGAGCTTATGCAAACTTTGTTTTCCTATGGCATAATTGTAAATCCATACTAACAGAAGGTCTTTATAGCTTTGAAATGAAAGAAATCTTACTGTTGCTGCTGCACATTTTCAAAGGGACTAACATCAGGTATTGATCAACAGCACTGTCTAAAGTGCAATACTTTCACATCAATCACACAGCTTCTGGGATCCTTTTCTGCTTCCCATAGCCATGTGAAAGGAAAATGATGGAGTAAGCATCAGACACCATTTTTTTGAAGATTCCACTTAAAAAACAATAAAATATAGAAAATATATTGGAGCATTTGTTGCATTAGTGGTGTCCCTATCCGTTGAATATGACTGTCAACTCTCAGAGGGGACAGCTGTACTAATTCTGCTCACTTTGCACTTACAAATGAGAACTAATGTAATTGTTGGGTTTTTTTCTGTACAACAGCTTTGGAATGATAAAGCATCAAAGGTGTTTTGGGTAATTCTCACAAGTGACATGAATTAACGTAAAAAATTATTTTGGTTTGTTAATTAAGCAAAGGCATTTTCTGAAATCTAGTTTGCAGTTTGGGAACACAGAGATTTCAATGGCTTGCTAATGAAAAGAACCTTATGTTCTCCCTGCTGTGTATCATTAGATTATCAAAATGATTTTTTTCCCTGCCTGACGTGTGAAGTAACTGAAAAACAATTACTTCTGTGATTAAATCTTCTTTTATCATAAATGAAAGGTTCTGAAAATGTTTTCGATTGTTCTACAGCTTTACACTCTACAGAGTCTATGGTCTCAAAAAGCTAAGCACATCAATTTCAAAGGAAAAGTCCACAAATTTAAAAGAACTTTAGTCTTAAGCAGCAAGAAACATGGATTCATGGCAAAAAAACCATTTAATCCCTATTTGAGCAAAAAGTATGAGCTTAATAAACCGTCTCCTTGCCTCCAAGCTGTTATAGAGATGCTCTGAATTGTAGCCTGCCTAGCAACTATGTCTAGAATTGTTTGTTTGTTGTTTCAGTTTTACAAATGCTTTCGTCAGCTTTTCCACTGCCAACCTCCTTCCTCCAGTGATGGAGAGCCCACCTGCCACTCCAAGGTAACTGTTATCCAGCTGAATCAGAGGATGGATGGTCGAAACATGTGCAATAATGAACCACGTCCAGAAACAGACAGTAAAATGATTTCTCTCCTGCACCCAGAGCCAAGCCTGGAGCCAGTTTCAAAAGCTGTACCACCAATGTCTTAGGAAAATTGGCTCTGACACAAAGTACAAGCCTTAACCAGAGCGTGTTTCATTTCACTGCCACATTACCCGGCTAACCTTAAAATTAATAAAGGAAGTTGCCATTTGTGGGATAGGAAAACTGTCAAGAACAAAAATTGGGACTCTCTTATAATTTCATTAATAGCAGTGAAGATGGCCACATCACTGCAGGTATGGCTCAATAATGACAAAATTTTAAGCAATATAATTGACTTTCCTGTAGATTAGTTAATGGAGCACTTAGAAGTGGTAGAGTTCTAGTTCTTAGTGATCTGTGGATCAATGCCCTCCAGAATCAATCTAAAAGGCACGCTGGGCTATCTAGTTCAGCTCCTTGCACTTCCTGCCTTGTTTCATCCAGTCCATGTCTTGGGATTTCAGATCAGGTTGCTCATAAATAACCATAATTTCTGACAGTCCACTCAAGTTTTTGCTCATGCTGGACAATGACATTTTGAGGGAGGAAACACAAGTGACAGGCTAGTTTCTGAGTGTAACAGCTGATTTACAGCACATCTTTGTGTTGAAGTCTAGGGTCAACAAACTGAAAGATGAGCTAAGACAATGAGTAGAGATTACCACATACTGAGGTGTCCCTGGGCTACAGAGGCTTATCTGTCCTGGTGGAAATGGGAGCGCTCCTGAGACTTCCAGACCTGGTGCACACTGCAAATGCCCAAACCCTACTCTGGGGAAAAACAGTGGTCAATGCCAGAGTTTTTCTCCTTTAGCACCTCTAACACCACAGAACCCCAGCCAAAGAGACCAACAGTGCGGTACAACCAGCACTCCCATCCCAACTACCTATGGGAGAGATCCCAGGGCATGCAGTATTATACACTCAATCTACATGAACCCAAGGAGGTAGGTCCCTCCACTTAGCTGTCACAGCCCCCAAATTCTCCCTTGGAATGATCTGCTCCTGCTGTTTTGTTCAAAAACAGAAGGTGGAATAGCACTGTATAAAGAAGGGAGGGAAGGCAAAAAAAAACCTCTTTTGACAAGAAGCTGTTTTCTTTGTAGGGTAGGAATAGGGTCCTCACTAAAATAGGGAATAAATGGGTGCAGTTCTGTCCCGTGCCTTAGAGGATGTGAATCCCCTCCACAGGGGACAGCCCTAGTGTTGTAGAGCTGTTACTGAAATCTAAATTCACAAAACCCATGAATCAACCATCTTTAAAAGAATAGCAGCAGTTTAAACCATGAGGACATTTACACCAGTCCATGTACTAGAATATATTCAGCTTTTATTCTCTTTACTTTCTAATACCACGTCTGGCTTGTTTTCCTTAAGTTCCTAAAACAGGGTCTCATGTTCCAGCCCGTGTTTTTTAGTACCACTCTGACTCAGTTCCTCTCTTTGCTAGGTGTTAATGACATTGCAGTGAGTTACTGACATCTGTATCCAGCAGGTGTAAGTGTGCTAAGCTGTCTATATTTTCATCTACCTCACAACTCAGTTTCCCCATCTTCCCTTCTCTCCCTCAGTTACCTTCAGTGATCTTACAATTTTTTTGAAATTACTAATAGCTTTTTGGCACTTACCTGATACCCAAAATACTTTTTATGTTATGTTTGAACTTTTATGTTTTGGATGCAATCACAAAGATAAAGAAGAATTATGCAGCTGACTGCTTACTGACTTGACCTTCCTTCTGTTAACCTGTTTTGCTTGCCAGTCTGCTCTGCAAAGCCCTACCTCACCTCCTATTTGTCACCCCATTTGTTATCTTTACACATCTCTCTCTGTATTATTGCTTCCTAGTTTCTCTTCTGTGGCTGAATCTCTTCATGTTTCCTCCCACACATATTAACCTGTAGTTCCCAAGTTTACTTCCTTTCCCTATATTGCCCACCCAAGTAGAGTACATGCCTATCTATCTACTTACTTCTTACGTGCATGTACTTTTCACATCACTGTCTGATTCAGTATCATCTGCAAGTTTGTTTGATATCTCAGCACTCCCCTATGATCATCAGCATCAGTATGAATATAAACCAAATTGTCTGATAGCCTGTAGGGCGAAGAATTTCCATATGCTGCACTTCAATATTTGTCTTTGCTCACAGTCCTTAAGTTAGTTTTCAGTCAATGCACGATTACTACATATAAAACAGCACAGTCTGGCTTACACAAGACCTAAGGAGACACTAATGAGCATGATGAGATAGTCATTGTCCCAACACCTTATATTCTGGACAGAATTAATCTCACTGAGATGTTCATGCCCATCTCTGACCTAGCTAGTCTAAAGCACTCTTTATAGACAATGCAGGAGACAGGCATTTCTAGGGCACAATTCATCTGACTTATTTTAGATGTCTACTTTAGGATGGGATGAATTGTTCCCTGTAAGTGTTGCTTCTCTCCAGTGAGTAGGCAGAAACTGAAAATAAGAGTCTGGCTCTTGCTATCAAACACCTTCTCCTCCACTCTCCTAGGTCAGAAGCTTTTGGAGCTTCGTGAAAAGATAATGTAATTGGCTTTTCCAGGAGCACTGTGAGAAAAAATAAAAACAAGGTGTGATTCATCTGACCAAATGTGCCCACTGGTGCAGTTACCCACACCTGAGATAGGTATCACAGGCTCCTTTGCTATCAGTAGAAGAAAGTGGCACTTTTAGGAAGCAGCCCATGTTTACTCATCCCAGAGCAGACATCTAAAAATGGGTCTTACAAGCCATGCCCCAGAAGTTCCTGTTTCTTTCTGTTGACTATAAGGGAAGCCTGAGTGGCAGCACGGACACCTGTACCGCATGAGTTCTACCTGCACTCCCAGTACGGGATGAAAATTTCACATGTAGAGGGGAACACAGGTCTCATAGCTATTTAA